TATTACAATTGCTTTTATTTTATGCAACATAAAAGATCACATTGATATGTGTATGAAGAGGAATATCATATCTGGAACATCACATAGACTTTCTACTTTTTTACTCCTCAGTCCCTCTCTCTTTTTACTCCACCGCCCTGTGCTCTGTCCTTGGTTCTTTTCCCTCCTGTTTTTCTTATCTTCCTTTCAGTTGTTTTTCTCACTTCTCTGGTTTTTCTTCTTCTCTCTGGCTTTTCCCTCTTTCCTCTTTCTAACCCCCCCATTCCATTTTATTATTTACCTTCTCTCTCAGTCATTTTATTCTTCCTCCAACCTTCTCTGAATCATCCTTTATCTGGTGCCCATTTTACTCCCCACTCCCGCCCCACACACACGCTTATTATCACTCTAGTCTTTAATCTGCCCCTCACTTCCCATCTGTTCATTATCTCCAGGTTGTCCATCTCATCCTGTTAGAGACAGACCATGTTGCTTCTTGCTGCCCACATAAGAAACAAGGAGTCTTTTAGCTGGCCTGCTTTTCTTCATTCCACTGTATCTTTCTCACACCACATCCCACTTCATAGTGAATGTTAATAACAACTTTAAAATATTTTTACCAAAAATAAAAAAAATACAGTCCTGGATCTGTGAAAAAGAAGACGACAGGATTGGTTAGCTTTTGTGTGAGGTGCCAAAGATACAGTCTTACTTTTGTTAACTCTATTTCATCTTGCTGCTGTTGCTGGCATTTCAAAGAACTTGCATATTTCAACAGTCTTTATGCTCTATCTTTTAAACATACACAGTCATAGGAGCTATCGAGAACAGAGGAATCAATAAATATAGTCTGGAGAAAAGAGCCCATTGGACTGGCTAAGGAACTGAGAAATGCTTTGTGTAAAAGAAAAAGAGCAAAGAGGTAATATTTTATAAAGCTTTTTTATTTTAGAGGAGGTTTTGGCTTTTAGACCCTGCTAAGCAATTTCAACATTTGTGGAGTCTCCAGCATGCTTTGGAATCACTTCCTGGAGTGTGACTGAGTAGAAATGACTCTTAGTCATTACAAAATTTTCTATCTAAGCAAGATTATGACACAAACAACCAGAAGAAACATCTCTTTCATTTTGCTGGTTTCTTTGCCTCTGGAAGGAAATTATGGGACAAGAATTCAAGACTACAGATCTAGCCACATTTGGAAATCCCAAACCGTTTAAACAAATCACTGACACAATTTGAAACAATAAGCATTTAAATAATTTTAAATCAGTAATTTTAAATCAAGTTTGGAAAAGGAAGTTTCCTAGTTTTCTGCTGTTCAGGGAGCAAGAGGCGCAGCACAACTAACAAAAGGTTTTCTGCAGAAGCTGAGTTAGATGCAGTCCTTGCAGCTGATACATGTGGGCTTAGTTGCTAAGAGCAAAGTAGCTTTTCTCATAAAGGTAGATTAGGATATTGTTTCTTGCACTGTCATTTTACTGTAGATTTCTAGTTTACATTTTGAAGATTGCCTTGACTAGAATGTTTCGGTTTACAAGGAAAGCACAAAATACACGGAAGCTGATGTGCTGGGTTGGTGAAAAAAAGTATATGTGGCTCTTTGCTAACAAATAGTTCTTAAAGACCTACTATCCAAACAAACTAAAGCACAGGAAACTTCTTGGTAACTGGTCTGACCCCCAAATTGAGGATGAAGATGATGCTACAGTGTTATGTCAGATGTTAGGTTCTTCATGTTTTTATGTGGTACTTACAACCTATGGATACAATCACTTGGAAATCTACAACTGTACAGCCACAGAACAATATGAAGGAAAAGGTATTAGTTTAAAAAACCCATACTTTGTTGTTTTTTATCATTCAAGACTTTAATTTATTTTGATATAAGTTCTTTCATTTCTGCTAAGACAAAAATCAAACTTTATTTTTAATACTCTTCCCCTTTTTCTAGCAGAAGAAAGTAGAATTTTATTCCGTAACTTTCAAATGAGAAATAGTTTGTTAGTATTTTAACAATTTTTTTTCAATTTTTGTCCTTTTCATTCTGATAAAAACTGACCTTTAAGTAGCCATTGCCCTAGAAAAGTAGCATTTATGGCCAAGAGTGAACTTCTTTTTTTGTTTTCAGCAGACTTGACTTTAGAGATGGTCAGTTAAGTTGCTGAGTTCACATCTGCATGCTATTTTATACTTGGTAATTGCTTCCAAAAGTGTTTGTTAAAAGATTTATCTTTATGATGCATGTTGACAGATACTGAGCTGAAGAATTTGCTCTCTCAAGTGTGTAGGTTTCCACTGTGCAGGAAGTATGAGGCAATGATGCAGGTAATCATCACCTGATGTGACAACATGATGGTACCGTAAGCCACAATGCCTAAACTTTAGTTGCATGTATATGAGCCTTGAGATCCTGTGACAAAAATGAAATTAACTTCTGTCACTTCAGTAAGGAACTAGCAGGGAGGTATTAAAACCCACAAATATTAGAAGTCCCTGAAAGCTAATGAACCAGTTTCCCTTTGCTAAAATGACAGAGTGTCTGCCAAGAAATCCAAGGACCCAGTCTATGTTCCTCTCTCTAAAGCAATTAGTCAATCAGTACCTTCACAGATCTGTGAACCAATCTGTCTTATTTCATATGTCTGTGCAAGAATTACTTTAAAGTGATAAGGTTACTGCAGTGAAACCTGGCAAACACTTTTACAATAGGCTTGTATGCTGTTAGAGTCACCAGCAGCATGCTAAGAAATGTCAACTGTAATTAAACCCAATCATTTTCAAATGTATGCCATGCTTTGGAAATGGTGAGGAATGCTTTTTACAGTAAGAATTCTCAGCCCTGTGAGCACAGATTTTTTTTAAGATTTTTTTCTCTTTTTGTGGGAAGAAGATTTTTTTCTTTTTCTTTTGGCAACACCATTTTGGAAGATGTTTATTCATTGAGGCAATTGTATCAAAAATATAGAACTGCAGGTTTCTTCTCTAAACTTGTCACAGTTCTTATTGAATTTGCATTTAAGGATTGTCCCTGCATGTAATTCTGAGTACATGGCATGGAATCTATTTTAAAGATTTGTGAACCACTTTGGCAAAATGTCTATTTAGTGAAAAGTGACATTTCAAAGTACTGAACTTAAATTGTGTTCAGCTTTTGGCAAGTAGTTTTAGAAAAATCAAAAATACAAGTTTGTAAATGGTTAAAGACTTGCTTCTAAAATAAAGCATTTAAATGTTGCAGACTAATTTCATGTAAGGATACAGTTTTCATTTGCAAAGATAAGAAGATGATAATGGCTGCCCTATACCCAGTTCATTTAACTCTCCATGTACTGCACTGGTGTAGTAATTTAAACATGATCCTGCTTGACCCCATGGAAGCATTTTAGCAATAGAGGTGTAAGGTGCTCCAGGACAAAAGTGTCTCACTGTGTAAGGTTTATTACTGGAGCAGTGTCTTGGATTTTTCATTCACTAGAGAGGGCTCTTTGCCCACTCCCACGCCTCATAAGTATTTGGTTGATTGTTAAAAAATGTAACAGATACAACTGAAAACATTGCCTCCACTCATCTTCGTAATTCCGTACCCTCATCCAGTACACTGATCTGCAGATAGTATTTTTTCACAACATGGCCAAAATACATTTGAGAGTCTGAGAGGTATAGTGATGGCAAAGATTTGTTTATTGTGTCCAAGACAGGTATGTTCCTGTGTGTGCCAGGGCAGCTCTGGCCAGCCTCACTTCTGCATCTGAAGAGGTTAGTGTAGTGCCAAGTGCTGTCTCGGCACAATTTTTCAACTCAGAATAGGCGCTGTAGTTATGCCTGTGCTTTCGACAGTGGGGCAGAAAACCAACAAGTGAATACTTTTGTGCTAGTTTGCTCACATATTTACTCAGTTAAAACCTATTGTTTTTCAAAGTTACGTTAAGACCAAATACGATGTTGAAGGCTGAACTCCAGTCCTGTTGGAGTCAATGGCCAAACATTCATTCATGTTGATTGTGGACAGTGTTTTGTTGTAATGAAATGTCAGCTGTCCCTTGCAGACAACAAGTAGCTTTTAAATGTGACAAAGCATTCCCTTACCTTCTGGTAGAATAGTTTGGAAAATGTACCACTGCTTAATGAGAGGTTTCTGTTGAGGAAATTCCTCTCAGCTCCAACATATTTTCTCTTTTGACAATGTTTGTCTTTACTGTAAAATTCTTACAGTCATCTCAAGTAAAAAAATGACTTGGGACTGCCCTTTTTGAAAAGTGGACTGAAGACATAAAGACAACAGAAGAAAACACTAATGCCACTTAAGTGAAACAAAATTTCTTGAATGCCTTTATGCCTGAATTGGCTACGTAGAAAGTAAAGTGTTTCACATCATATATAAAATGCTGAAGAAAAGATATTTTGACAAATTTTATTCCTTTTTGTTCACTTAATGCACATCAAACTTAATTCTGTGTTATTTTAAATTACATTAACTAAACAGAAATTTTAAAAGAACCAAAGTGTAAGCTTCACACTACCTCAGTACCTATTGCTGTTTTAATTGATAGATATTTTCATTTTTACTTATTGATATTTGTATAAAAACAGTGAAGACTGCTTTTAAAGTCTTCACTGCTTTTATATACAAAAGGATGATATAATTATGCATTTATTCCTATAAGGTTCATTATCATGCAACTCTTTCTGGTATGAATAAATACCTTGAGAGAGAGAACATCTTGGTCCTCTCAGGGTGAAGAGGCATTTTTCCTGCCTGAAAATAGCATCCTCACAACCAGCAACAGTTAAGTTTCATAAACTTTGAACTCTACTACAAGAACCTTTCAGGATGATTATCCTCTCAGCAAAAAAAGTTAAGAGTAAGTTCATTATTGCCTTAGCTCAATATAAACCTGTAAAAGAAGTCTGCATTTTTCAATGCCAACACACAAATTTGACTCAAGACAGCTTTCAACATGCAGCTACTATGATTTTTTCTCTTTTTACTGGTTCTAGTAGACTGTCAATGAAATATTTACCTGACTAGTGTGGCTCTCCTTATGTCTTTGAATCGATGAGCCTGCCGTAGTGCTGGCCGACAGTCTTGAATATTCATTTTCCTCTGGTAAACCTAAAGCAGAACAATACTAATTTATAACCTGCCATTTACGCATCGCCTGATTTCAGCATGAGATTCAAAAGACCTTGACATGTTTTACTAAAAAAGAATGAAAATATCACACATTTGCCTGGATATTTACTATTTCCATGCTTACTGGAACTGGAATAATTATTGTTTACCAAGTATGAATAGCATCATAGGTATGCATGCTGGTTTACAGAAGCAGCAATTGTACTAAGAAAGCCTACAAATAACACACTACCTATGCACTGGCCAGGGATTCCTCCTGCAATGCAGAAATCCCTGGCTCCTCTTCCCCTGGCTCCTTTTCATCGCAGAAGCAATGCAAAGGGAATGTAAAACAGGCCTGCGGTCTGCTCTCATATTAATGTCTCTGGGTTACAAGGGAAGTTGATAGTAGGTCCAGGACTTACAACTTCATCTCCTCAGTACAGAGTTTTTCTGTAATTCTTGTACTTGTTGTGCACTCTCCATGTGGGAATTAGCTGCCCAAAATTTAGCCATGTAAAAACCAGTCATCCAGTGTAAAAGAGCCAGGTAGACTCCCTCTGTAGTCAAGAGGAACAAAGACCTGTGCACAGTGATCCTAGAGCAAGGCTCACTGCCGGCGCTTCCCCATCACTTCTGCCAGAGTGGAAAGACCATTCACATAGCACTACAGAGGATCTGAAAGGTGGGATGACGGGAAGCAAAGGCAGAAGCAGAAATACAGTGAGTCCATGATAGGTGTTATTAAGCCCCTCACAAACCAGAATCGCAGACACCATGCTAGGTCTGGTATCCAGCAATTTTGGTATTGCTTCATATAGCATATTTTCCAAATGTTCATGCTACTATGGCATCCATAAACAGCATATCACTACTCTTTCTTTAGTCAGCTGAACAGAGCTAGCCACCACAAGAGGATTCATCCTGGTAAGAGATATGCAAGTTGAATTGTTCTCAGTAGGCCACCTGAGATATACTAACTAGAAATGGAACACATGTAATCTGAAGTATTTGATTAGACTATGCATTGACCTTTTGTGTGGCTGAAACTAGGTAAGGTGATTCTGCACCTAGATATGTAACTCTTAGGTAAGAAAAAATTAGGCGAGCCCCGCTCTTTGCATATTGTACATTACATACACAGAATCATAATGGAAACAATTCAAAGTTCAAATGCAATGAATCATAAACTACTTATGGTATTATGCACTGTTACTAGACATAGTTCTGTTTCATGTTCATGTTCAGTTTCTTGTTCCATCACGAAACTGGCATAGAAACACACTGTGAAACATACTTGCCTTCCAACCTGCTATCTTCAGTATTAAAAATGTTTTTTAATTTTTTAATTTTCATAAATGAGCATTAACTCTTAACATGGTTACTGATATATGATTTAACTCATGAAAATATAAGTTGCATGAATAATCCTATAAAATAACCTGACTTTGCAAAAGAAATAGAACAAGAATTTTAAAGAGAAGCAATGATGCTTATTCCTTTTTGGCCTCCCTACCCTGCTTTTAGTTTCTTCCTTATAATGGTGCATGTCCACAGCTTTGTAACTATGGACAGCTGGATTTTTATTTGTTCTTCTGAATAAAGCTTGTGTAAAGTATTCATAAATATGGATCTTCTTCTACAGCTTCACATCATCTGGACTTCCTCTCGACACACACAGGCAGTGAAGAAGATAGAACCCCTGCTTGCAGCTCAGGAGCCAGGTCAAATCTTGTGAGAATCTAGCACTTCAGTACTTTTCTGCCTGGTGCAGAGAGGAAGTCTGACCCTGTTCTCTCAGTGATTTGAACTATGTGTTGTTTCGAGGTGGAGTTACCACTTTTTGAAGCTGGTCCCTGATATATTAGGTATGTACTGGGGCAAGGTCTGATGTTCAAGGTCTCCAGTATACTAGGCTTGTAAAATATATATTAGGTTACCACTATCCCTTTCTTACCCATATTAAATTCCCTGTCCTCCAACTTAAAATTCTCCCTCAGCAAAATCATGTATTTTTGGTCAAATGAAATGCTTGAAATAAATTTCCCTCCAAAAATACAGTTTTTGTCAACACAAAACAAATCCCTTTTTTTCCAAATCGTTTCCTGAACTAATAATTTATTCACATGGATTCAGTTTGGATACTTCTCAAACAAATTAAAAAATATCCACATTTTAATGCAGAATGCCTTGTTTAAGTAGGTGTTATTCATTTAATTTAAATAAAAGACATAATGTAAAATATTTGCATGATTCTAGACCACCATAAATGAATGAAAATACTTTCCTAGGCCAGCAGCATGTTTTGAAAAAGATACTGCTTTTGCACTATATTTATACAGTTCAGGATCTACCGTCCATGACAGCGTTGAGCTAAGAATAAGGTTATCAATGATTTTCTGTTTATTTCTATGAAAAGCACTTTGATAAGAGGTCTTATCAAATAAGTAAGCAACAGCACGTCATCATAGACATGGCAAGCAGAGGCTTGGTGGAGTTTGGAAAGATAAATGGAGTAGCTGATTACATCCTGAAGAGTTTTCCTTTACGTACACCTAAGTAAATATTAGGATACCACAGCTGTGCGCTGAATAAGACCTTGCTTAATTCAGCACAAGGTTGGAAGCAAAAGTTTAGCAGGGACAGGGGCAGAATTACAAGAACATAAGTTAATCAGGGGTTCAGGCTGGAACACAAATTACATCATCTGGGCTGGGCTTTCTTGCAACTATTCTCAAGCTACCAAAAGTAAGTCTAATTTGTCAATTTTGGGGCAAAAATATGCTTGCTAACATTATTACTGCAATTACATGTGGTCGTGAAAATGAAAGCAAGGAATATGATTCAATCAATAATTAACTGGAGAAGTGAAAGAAATGCATTCCATTTTTTTCACATAATCAAGAATACAGCCTTGTCCCAAGCAATATGTATATTCAAACTACAAACCTGATCCTTTACCCACTTACTCCCTGTAATGCCTTTTCTATATTGCTTCAAAAGAAGATCCCACACTCAATCCCCAATCTTCTTTCTGTACTATTTCCCATTTTAGCCCTGTTCTCAGATACTCCCTTTAGAATCCTTCAGATAAACAGCTTGCATCTCAAATATTGAGATCTAGATCACTGGACATCTGGAAGTCGTTCTGTGGTTCCAGAGAAATTCCAGTCTCATAGGCTCTGCTACCCCGAACTGGAGACCCTGCACCTCCTGGCCTCCAACATCTGTATTTGCAGACCACCACCAATACCACAGAGTCTCTGGGTCTTTGCAACTGTGGCCACACATCATTCCCCGAACCACCTAACTTCCTCCGTGATTCTGCATTCACACAGGCTGGGTCTACTGCTCAGCTCCACTTGACACATTGGCTGCTATAGTGTGAAAGAGGCACCACCAGGAAGGACAAGATGTAAGGCTCTGTGCTCAACAGCATGTAGCCAGTGTCATGGTGACATGCCCCTTTTCTGTCAGGTTACCTGCTGTGACACCTCTCCCATTCTGCGACTTCAGGCAGATGTGCTTAAATCTGGTGGCAAGTTTCAAGAGACTAGACAGCAGACTGTAGGACTGTAGCACCCGGGTGACCTGCATAGGCAGAACAGTTACCTTCTCGACAGCCAAAGTTAGACAAGTCTAAGCCCCTTACCTGAATAATGCATAGGGCTTTTGGTGAAACAGACAGCTGCTTACGCCGATCTGCATGAACTATATAGTGAGTCCATTCACAAGGATCTCTGTACATGAGGAGTGGATCTCAGTTATAACTGGAGAGGAATAACCAGAGAGGCTTCCTTCGTGGGACAGTGGCGTGCCAATGGAGCTGGATGAACAGCACAGTGCAAGGTGTGTGCCTGTATGACCATTAGGCACAATGCAGCACAATGCTCCTTCGGTCCAACAGGGCTGTCTTACCTATACAGTATCTACTCTAATTTTCACTTGGGCTACATAGAGTAAGTACCTCTATAACACACTACACTGGGGCTAAGAATGGTCAGATATCTGGGGAATTTTTCCCTTTCACTAACCAAAGGTTAGGTCACCTCAGTCACTTATTACAGTTGTTGTATTTAAACATTTCACTTAATGATTAAACACTCCTCTATATCCTATTAGGTACTAGTTGGAAATGACAAACTTTTACCTGCAGTGTTTGAGTGTCTCCCACCAGAGGATCTGTGTTTTGGGTGATTTAGGATCACAACTTTCAGCATTGTAACATAAAAGGTTATTATAGGCTTTCTGATTACTCTTTGTGTTTGGACAAGAAATAGCAAAAGAGCTCTTTCAGACTAAAAACTCTGGGGGATGTGGAAGATTTGTGGCAGAAAAGTCACAGTTTGATAGCACAGAGCTGTAGAAAGGTGTTACTCCTAATATTAAAGATAAAGAAGAGGAGGATTACATTATATAAAATGAAAAAGCAACTTCTATTAAAATTCTGAACTAACAGCAGTGCGAGAAATTAAACTCTGCTTCCGAAAGCAGCACAGCATTAATCTGCATGGAAGCTGAGCCAGCCAGCTTTTTAGCTGCTTAGTAATGGTTTTCTACAGAATTCATCAACATCAACATCTTCGTCAAAATGATTATTCTTACGACGATAGTGACTTTAATTTTCATGATGCTTCAGAGGAGTGGTGCTGACACTTCATTCACGACAGCAAAAGACTAGTCTTATTTAAGAAACTGCTTTCTGCATTAACTCATATGAGCAATGTATGACTAGTTCTATCAGTGGAAAGTAGATTATATAGTTGCACTGTGTAACAGCGGGAAGCAGATTACTCTATATTCAGGAGTTTTGTAATCTCAGTATCAACTATTTAATAATGCCTTTCAGGTTTTATTTTCCTCAAAGCTAGAGGAGTTTGGTGTACAGTAACAAAGAAATGAAAAAGTATTTTACATGGAAACATCTCATGGCACATTCTCAAATACCAATATTGCCTAGATATATCCAACAAGACACAGACTGCAAAACTATGAAGTTGTTAAGGTTTAATCTTGGAAGGATATTTTTCCTAAGCAAACTGGCAAACTGGTTTTGAATTCGTGTAATCAAAGTACACCAGAGCTTTCCATCTTGTCAACTCTTTCAATTATTATTAAGCGTGGCTGGAAAACCAGCATTCTGTATCACAAAATTTATAACCTGATTTTGCTCTGCATCAGTATAAAATCAAAGCTTGCATCATTTCTACAACAGTCTGATAGGCAAAACATAGACTTGAACCTTGAAATACCACAAATAATGTTAATTCCTTACCCAGTGGGAAACTGCCAGACCTAAAGGGAGTTTTTTTCTACTCATAGTATACAGTGAATATCAAAACAATTCCTTATCAAAGCTGCATCAAAATTGGGAACCTTCCATGAAAAGTTTGGGTCTGATGAATCAGTGTTTTGTAATGGAAAAAATACCTTACTGGAAAATTCCATTGCATGACATTACACATTTATGATTAAACTTTTGATTTACAAATAGTTTGAAAAGAATTAGTTTATGCATAGCAGATACTGTATATTATCAATATGAACAGCCCTGGCTACTAGTGATTGCAAACAGACTGATTAAAACTTCACACAATTATAAGCACCTCTCATGTATTAGCTGGCCTTTTATTCAAGCAATGACTATTTATTTCAGTAACTGAGATCATTTCCTAACTAACTATAATCATCACAAATAAGAAACTTAAAGCATCATTTCATTTCTAAGCTGAAAGAAACACAGCTCTTGTGATTACACTCCAAGTTAAGGGGTTTGGGGATAAAATGGTTGCTCTTATAAAAAGCTGATCTCCCACAGGTCCCATTAGGACATCAGAATATATGGTTAAAATACTACATAGAAAGGAATCAAGACTTGGTCTACCCACAGTTTTTGTGTTAATTTAAGAGTCTGACTGTTATATGTACTGAAAATATGCTCCCCTCCTCCCCAAATTATTATATTGATACAAATGGGGACATGGTTACAATCGACAAAGATGCCTTTTTCTTCTGTCAGTGTGTTCCTGGTTCCACACAGGAACGAATGCACCTTTACATTCGTATAACTTCTCAGATTGGATCAGCTTTCTGCTTTGATTATCAGAGAGAACAGGAAGAATTATTTTGGCCAAGCACTGCAGAATTTGGAGAATAGGTTTTCTTGAAAAGAAAGGAAATATTTCAAGTATTCAATTTTGATAATAAAGCTTGATTTTTCATTTCAAAACACTGCATATTAAGCAGCTCTAGCCTTTTTTTTTTTTTAAAGGATAGCATATTTGGAAAACAAAATGCAGTTATTGCACTTGACCTAGTATTTTTCCCTTTGAGTTTTCCAGTATAGCTCTCTAACTACCAACTGCATTATGTGTAGTTCTACCCTTAACAGTAAAGGCTATACAACTGTTCTGCTTACACAACCCATATTTAGACTTAAGTTTTCAGTATGAAGATAATTGTACGCAGTGCCATGCAAGTATTTAGACATCTGCTTCTCCACATTCCATTGAAATAAATACTTTCTATTTGTCTTGTGTCTATTCATACTTGTCTATTTGTATTGTGTGATTTTATGTAATACAGGTGTTATATCCTTAAGATTTATGCTTTTAGGACCTTGAAAGATTTCATTCTTTCTGTCATTGCTCTTGCACCATTTTGATCATCTTGTTGCAATGATAAACAATTTGTCATTCACTAGTAAGGCACCTGTAGCAAAGGGAGATCCTGATTCTCCTTTTTCTGTCCCATTTGTATTGATTATAGGATCAGAAATCTCAAATCTCAGTCCTCCATGCCTTTGGCTGCTTACAGACTCGAAGCTGAGCTAATTACAAATTCCTCAACATAGGCTGTTTTATTTTCTTCACATTCAGCTTTTATTGGAAAGGGGCTTATCAGTTCACACATACAAAGTTAAGCCAGTGCCAGAAACACAGATATTTCGCAACTCAGAAGATTCCAGCTCGACCAGATCTTAAGCAGTACATTCAACGAAACACTTCAGCAATTTTATGTTAGAAGGGCTTTGGGATTAGAAACTGCTTACCATTTGATACTGAATTTCCATTTTCAGCCATCACAGAACTGGACAGTGGATTTGATGACTGAGTTCCATGGTTATTTGCATTTTTATCCTGGGTTTCTGATCCAATATCTAATGTATTTGGATCCTCCCTGCTCCTCAAGTTCAGATTAGTTTCAGCACCTGACACAAACAGAGAAAAAGCTTGTGAGCTTCCTATTAACTAGTGGCTTTCACACTAAGTAGAAAAAACTAACACACAGAAACCAAACTACTTTACCAAATTAGTTTAATTAATCACTAAATTCACAAGTGCAGTGATAAATGTGGAAGGTTTAAGTCAGTGATTTTTTCAGGGTTTTTCTTTTTTTTTGCTAGTGTTCCACTTGAAGCCATTTAGAGTTCATGGAAATGAAAGGCATTAACAAAATTTGTACTGTTTATTTTCACACAAATATCAGCTGATAAAACTCAACAAATGTTTGTATTGCCCCTATTTTAGATTCTACTCTATTTCACGAGTTCATATATTGCTGTCATCACTGCAATGCCTTTCACCGTTGCATTAGGTGATACTAGCAACAGCTATAACATGGGTTTATATTTTTCTCTTATCTCCTCCCACAAGAAATGAAATGGCTTTTGATATGAAACCGTATGTAGCAAGATTCCTCCCAGCAGAGCCTCCCCGTGGGCATTATTTACCCTGCCTCAGGGCTCTCCAGCCATCAATTGTAATTTTCTATAAAGTTCCAGGTTTTCATGTCATATAGCCTTTTAGTTAAATGTCTTCAAGGCATCAAGAGGAGATTTGATCCTGAAGGAGTTCCCAAGCAATATACAATGCACAGGCATTTCTTCAGAGAGAAAGGCAAAACTCTTCTTCCCCTTCTGACCGACGGCACATCCGCATGAAGCAGAACAGCTCACAGCAAAGTGCCCGGAGCTGGCTCTGAGCTTGCCTGGCTTTGTCAGCCCAGGGCACCACAAGAAACGGGGCTCAGCCATCAGCTGTGCCTGAGTGGTGCTCCCCACTGGAGCTCAGGGGCCGGAGGCAGGTTCGGAGCCAGGAGATAAGACCATGAACGGGTTGGGGATGGTAGGAGGGACCCCCACTGCAATTCAGGTGTCCCTGGCTATCTCCACTCCACCGCTGTGTGGCAGGGCTGATAAGGCTGCATGAGATGCTGCACTGGCAAGGCTATGCATTTTTTGAAGGATTTCTCTCTCTTCTCTGTATTTCTCTTCATTTTTTGGTGAACATATATACATACTCTTTCCTTGCCAGGATCAGGTTTGTTTCATGGAATACAAAGATGAATTCAGTTCTCTCTCTGTTTAACTCCATTTCAGTTTTCCTCCTTCCACCCCCTGCTAAGAGCTGGCCTTAGCTACAGGGCTGACATACTATGGCTGACCCGGGTGCCGAGGCCCTCATTTAGCACTCTAAAATGGAAATTTTTCTTCTATGACAGCTCTCAAAGAGCTATTCCTTTATTTTGGTTGTGTCTATTTAAGCTTTGTCATAATGACAGCAAGAACCAATGGAGGTCAAAAGACTAGCTATTAAAACCAACATTACAGCATCCATCCATACTTCCAATGACATCCTCAGCTCTCCCAAACATAAAATATATTCTTATAAGTCTTGAGCACATGAACCTTTTTCAAGGGGACAGGAAAAACATTTTTTCACCAGGTAACAGGTACTTTTCCTGCAGATTTTCAAACTTAATGCTGACTGCATGGTTAATTTTTCATTTTTATGCCTGAACTGAAAAAACCCACCTGGTTTATGAAGTACCAACATTTAAAAAAATAATTAATGAAATAAAAACTATATAACCATCTGCTTAACTTGAAATGTTTCATTTCATAGAACAGGGCCTTCTTGGCTTTGTTTAGCTTTCAGTTATCTAACTCTGAATCTTTCTTAACTTTTCCTCTTCTAACAAAAAAGCTGTCTTGGAAAGTCAAAAAGTTCATTTCCAAGCTGTCAGAATAAAACATTTCAACTTTTTTTTTTGCTTCCTCCCTTGCCCTGATTGCCGATCTTTTTTTTTTTTTTTGCCGGACCTGACTGGAGTGTTTCAGTGGCACTGTTTCGTAAACTACATATTTAGGCAGATGTGCTATGCATTGAAAAAATTAGGCCAGCTCTACCCACAGTAACTGACTTGGGAGAGGTAGTAGAACCAGAGTCTGAGCTGGAAAATGCATACAATACAATTATAAGAGCATGCCTGATTTAGCTTTTGTACAGGCAAGTTGACTGCAAAATGCATCTTTGCAGCTCATATTAAATTTATCTGAAAAGGAAATGTCACTTTTAGATGTTAATAGTCAGTGCACTTGCCTATAGATCATAATCCACCTACGTAATTATTGTACCACCTTTTACATAAAGAGTCTCAGGGGAATCAGCTGGGATCCTTATTTTTCTTGATATCCGAAAGATTTATTGATTTGTCTGACATCCGCAATTCATTTGAGAATGTGCAAGTCAAAAGAATTTTTCTTGCACTCCTATTTCCAGAGGCCTTTTGTTTCATAGGTACATTGGTATCTTTTCATGGCATTCATGAAGGGCTCTTGGAAAAAAAAGGTCATCTTTTCTCTTTATATCTGTAAGATGAAATACTACAAAGAATTGTGGATAGCTACTATTGAGCTAAAGTGTCATCTCAAATTGGCAGAAACAAGTAGTGGATGGATATGCAGCATATCTTTTGGGACAGCTATCTAGATAAGAGATGTGTTATCCCATTTGCTCTGTTCAGTCACTGTAAGAACTGCACACCTTTAGTTTCTAAATAGAAGAATATATAGAGAAAATATACTTCATAGAGTCTTATTTAATGTGGGAAAGAAGCCTGTATTTTGTTTCAAAATATTCTGGATTATATAAAGGTACTTGTACTAATTTCCTATATATAGGCATCTTCAGCTCCTCGTTGGAGCAGATTCATGTGAGTCTATGGAAAAAGTGTAACTGCATAAGTTGTGTAACTTCTAAAAGACTCCTGGGGAAGCCAGAGTGTAGCCCTAGCAAAAAAGTACAGTTCTTTTCTTTTGGACTTTGTGTCAAATGGGTGAGTTTCTGAAGAAAATCTTTTCTAGAAATAGGATAACAAGAGGATGCTTTAGTCAGGTGTAACCAGTGTACTGTCCCAGTACTGCAAATCTCACCTAGGATCACTGGGTAATTCATGTTGGAAGGGACCTCATGAGGTCCCTCGCGCACCCCTGCTCCAAGGAGGTTATGGGTGTCTTTCTGCACCGGGGGGCACCGAACCGGCCACGGTACCCAGACGTGGTCTAACGACAAGTGCTGGGCAGAGGGGACAACCCCTGCCCCGACCTCCTCGCTGTGCTCCTGCTGATGCAGCCCCAGATGCTGCTGGCCGTCTCTGCTGCAGGGCTTGCTGCCGGCTCCTGCCCGGCTCCCAGGGCCCCCAGCACCCTTTCCCCAGAGCTGCTCCCCAGGCAGTCAAGCATTGGTCTGAAATTCACTTCACCCTCATGCTTTCTCACCTAATATAGCAGTTTGGACTCTTCTCCACATTAATGTCAACTTTTCCCTGCTGCCATGAAACCCTGCAGATACAAGTATGCACTGCTTTCTCATTCCTTATCAACTTCTGAAACAATCAAAAACACTTTAGGAGAGACGAAAAGAAAAAACTGTGGTTCCTACAGTTGAACATCTTCACCAACCCACTGAATGTTAGCTTTTTGTCCAGACTTGTGCTCTGCTGTTCTCACCAGACAGATGGATTATTTACCAGGTTTCAATTTTTTTTTTTTTTCAAGTAACAGCATCTTAACAGTTTCCAGCTCGTAATAAATGTTATTTGAAGAGTCATCCATCCCTACTTGTGAGAGACTAGCTACAGACAGGTATCAGCTGTAAGACCATGGTGGGAGTTCACGATTATAAAAGGAATATAAGCTTTAAGTGAAACCTACAGATTCTTTGCAACAGTGAACAGTGTTTGGATTATTATTTTGATAAACTGACTTTGCCAAAAAGGTATCTCTGACTCAGTCAAATTCTGCTCTGACTAATCTTGCAGTTAATGAGGATGTATGGACTACAAGGATGTATGGATGTTTGGATTGGGGGCATAATTTGCCCCTCAACTGCAGCACAGTTAATAGCTGGAAGCAATCAAGTGTACAGTGCTTTTAATCAGAGTATGACAAATCAAAGTGTAACAATTATTTCTTTACAAGCAAGCTCTGTATTCCAATAAACCCATAATTACATCAACAACATTACTCTAAAAGTGGAAGAGGAAAGGTATGCAAAAGAGGCAGCTCACGAAATCCACAGTTGCCTCTTCTTTTCAGTGTTCCTGGAAGAGACGGACTTTAAAACTCACAGCGAAGTCATAAGGCACAGGATGGAATGAAATTTCACTTGTTTTGGAAAGAAAAGTCAGAGTATAGCAATCATGGAAATCATTTAATATACCTGCTTTTTGTTTTCCTTTTTGAGTCATTGTTTCACTCTTAAAAGAAACCCAATGCACTGAAAGTCTACATGATGTAACTTTTTTGTCAAAAGAGTAACTTAAACTCTTTTAATTTAGCTATGACTTCCAAATACCCTATTATAAAGCTCTTTTTTCCCAAACATAAAATATAGGATCCAAACATCATAGTTATTTCATAAGTAGTATTTAGGCTGAACTAATGCTGTTATCGCTAAATTAGAAAATGGGCCAGTATAGGCTCTATTCAGATGACAGATTAAAGTGCAATACTGAAACATTTTGAGAAACTACTAGTTTTGTAAGGAAATTATATATTTAGCCTATTTAATAAAGTCTAAAGCAAAGTATAGATCGATGACTGGTATCAGTGTTTAGGTGGAATCACCATAGACTCTTGTGCAGCAAGACATAAAAAACCAGTATGTTATTAAAAGCCCAGCAGTAACTCACCTGGCTGGGTTGTGGTTTTCTTTTCTGTCAAAGTCCTCGGTTTTCCTCTCCTTTCTTTAAATGTATATCCATAACATATATCTGTCCTCGTATGTTCTTTTTTCAAATACTTCTCCTTTTAACATCTAGTGCTCATTTACAGTCTGACTGAAAACTCATTAGTAACAACAGAAGGCATCCACTGCTTTCAGTGGGTTTTGGATCATTCATGCTTACCTTGGATGCTTTGTGCAG